CTTAGTGGTCAGGGGGAGAATAGTGTAGATAATGAAACACCTATTGACTCTCTAAGTTGGCTTTTCCAAAGTTTTCCAACGGTAGATACTGAAACAAACGCCCAGGCTGAACAAACACCACACAATCAGAATCATCATCATGACGTGCCATCTCCAGTTTCTCCTCAACTGATATCACCTGAAAGAAATGAAGAACACAGTCCTAATCCTGACACTTATACAGAACCTGAACCTGAGCCTGAGCCTGAATTAAATGAAACAGGAGGGACCAGACCATACGTTCTACCACCCCGGAGCAACAGGGGAATTCCTCCTAGGAGGTTCTCTCCTGAGCGAGGGGGACGGAACAACCGACATCCTATTGGCTCTCTAGCCAAAGTTAACATATCAAAGAATGCCACTGCTTATGAGAAATCACTGTACACTCAGAAAATTCCACCATCTGAAGTTGAGGCTCTGAGAATTCCTCACTGGAGGGAAGTTATATAGAAAGAACTTAATGCTCTGGCTCGGACAGAAACTTATGAGAAGTGTCAACTTCCAGAAAGGAAGAAACCCATTGGCTGCAAATGGGTGTTTACCATTAAAAGGAGACCAGACGGATCTATCGAGAGGTATAAAGCTCGGCTTGTAGCAAAGGGATACACTCAAACTTATGGGATCGATTATGATGAGACATTCTCACCTGTTGCGAAGATGAATACAGTGAGAGTTCTTCTGTCTGTTGCTGCTACCAAGGATTGGGCTCTTCATCAGTTTGATGTCACCAACGCATTCCTCCATGATGACCTAGAGAAAGAAGTCTATATGCTTCCACCTCCCGGTTTTTCCCATGAGTTTGGTAAGAATGAAGTATGTAAACTCCGAAAAACGTTGTATGGCCTAAAACAATCACCAAGAGCGTGGTTTGGAAGGTTCACTGCCATGATGAAGAAATGCGGCTACCTACAGAGCAATGCTGACCATACTCTGTTTATCAAAAGAAAAGGAGATCTGCTAACCTGCCTCATCATCTATGTTGACGACATGATACTCACAGGAAATGATCAGGAAGAGATTAGTAGTCTGAAGAAACATCTCTTTACCGAATTTGAGATGAAAGATCTGGGAGATCTCAAGTATTTTCTTGGGATTGAAGTTCTTCGGTCAAAACAGAGAGGCATCTTCATCAGTCAGAAAAAGTATACACTTGTCCTTATCACTGAAGTTGGCTTGCTAGATTGCAAGCCTGTAGCAACTCCTATTGCTGTGAACCATGGACTTCGGATCAAAGAAGGGGTAGAGCTTGTAGATCGAGGGCAATATCAGCGACTTGTGGGACGGTTGATTTATCTCTCTCATACACGCCCCGACATTTCGTATGCAGTTGGAGTTGTGAGTCAATTCATGCATCATTTTCAACCCAATCATATGATGGCAGCATTGAGGATTGTTAAGTACTTAAAGGGGACGTTTGACTATGGTGTGTTCTTCACAAGGTCAGACAATATGGAGATCCATGCCTACACTGATGCCGATTGGGCTGGAAATCCTGTTGATAGAAAGTCGACTGCTGGTTATTTCGCGTTTGTGGGGGGGAATTTGGTTTCCTGGAAGAGCAAAAAGCAGAAGATAGTAGCTCTATCCAGTGCAGAAGCCGAATTTCGTGGAATCAAGAGTGAGATTACTGAAGTGTTGTGGCTTAGGAAGTTGATGATGGAACTGGGCTTGTATTCTGGAAGGACGTGTCGGTTGTTGTGCGACAATAAAGCGGCAATAAGTATCTCAGAGAATCCCCTCCAGCATGATCGAACCAAACATGTGGAAGTTGATAGGCACTTCATAAAGGAGAATATTGAAAAAGGAGTGATTGCTCTCCCTTTCGTGCCCTCGAAGGATCAGCTTGCAGATGTTCTTACCAAGGTTGTTGACTCCAGAAGTTTCACAAGTATTCTCGGCAAGTTAAATATCGGGAATCCCGTTAATTAACTTGAGGGGGAGTATTGGAAAGGACAAAATTTGGAGATCAGTTTAATAAGGAAATAGATCAAGACTGAATCAAGATTAGATCAATTAGAATTATTCTTTCCCTTTGTATTTTTTTCCTTATCTTTCTCATCATATCTCCTATAAGAGTTCACACATTGTATTACGGTGAATATTGAGAAATATGCAAACCTTAATCATGTCTATTGTCTTCTACGTTTTGATACCACAATCCAACAAAACTAATAGTGGAAATTTTCAAGAACGAGAGCCACATATTGTTTGTAGTAGAAAAATGAATGAGAAATATATTGAAAGAATTTTCCGAATTCACATTTAAATAAAGTTGTGAATTTATTGAAATTTAATTAATAAATTTCCTATTCACATTATTATATATCATGAAAAATACCGGAAAATCTTTAGTGGGAAGTGGACGTTACCTCGCTTTTTCATCTTGTCTACATGTAATGCATTTTTCTGACAAACTTAGGTAATGGCAATTTCATATATATAACGAACTACACACACAAGAAACATCCATCTACATCTTTAATTCTTCATTTATTTTTCTCTTTAGTTTTGCTTGATGCATGCACAAACACTTTTATAATAAAAAAAAGGATATACATATATATATATATATATATATATATTATTTTATTTGGAAAGGCATAAACAAAACAAAGCACATATCAATATCATCATCAAGAACATCATGTATGTACACATGAAATCAAGTCATCAATTCTAAACACTACTACATACTTTTCTTCATGAACACTTTTCTTTCTTTTTTTTCTTTTTTTTTTTGCTCCTTTAATTTATTTAATATATATATATATGTGTATATATATAAGGAGACAATATATTTATAAAAAACAGAAATGCTCCCCTACCCACGGTGGGCACATGTTAATATGTCCACCGCGTAGGTGGCATGCACTCATTGGTGATGTATTTTTTAAAACATATTAACATCACCAATGAGTGTATGACACCTACGCGGTGGGCATATTAAAATATGTCCACCGTGGGTAGGTGAGCATTTCTCTTATAAAAAATAGTAACAAGAAAAGTCAACAAACATTTATTACATTCTATTTTTGGCAGTTTTTTATTTTTTATTATTTTTTTTAAATTATTCCTAAAAATTCAATCAGCTATATATGCACCCTAAATTAATGAGTTTGTGGATATAATTTAGGTAAACTTCGACTGATGCTTACATTTGCAAAAAGTCAAATTTATTTCTCATTTTTTATTTTTGAAAAAATAAATTGATTACCATAAAATCGGGAATTTCGAATTAGACAAAATACTATTACATATATCTTTTACTAATTGCAACGGATTAATATTGTTTATTAAAAAAATCAGATTGTATAGAGATCGGGTTAAATTATGTAAAATTCGACATGACAATTTTGTAAAAGTGAAAATTCTCTCATTATTTATTAAAAAAAAATTGTTTGCCATAAGATCGGGAATTTCGAATTAGGCAAAATACTATAACATGTATGTTTACCTAATTGCAACAGATCATATTTATTAAGAAAACTAGATTGCATAAAACTCAGGCCCAATTTCAAAGTGAAAATTAAATTTTAAAAATTTCTTATCATGTGGCTATTAGTTTCTTTAGTTCGGATTTTTTTAAGCATAAAATAGAATCAGATAATATTAATTTACAATTCAAAATGAAATCGGATTGGAACATCCTAAAAATTTGGGATTTGTTTAATCCTCTAGAATACAAATTTGAAATTGATTGAATACACTTACAAAATAAATAATGATTGCATACACTTACAAAATATTATATATATCCTGCTACATAAATAATGATTTATTTAAGTCTACTTCGAATCCTAATATAATTTGTGGTGATAGACGATGTACCAAAAGACCAAACAAATAATGTCACATACTATGATGTGTTTAATAATATATAAGTTACATTTTGTTTATTCCAATATATGCGTTTTACGTTCATCCAATCATCCAAATTTAAATATTTCCATTAATAAAACTAGCCCCAGCATCGCACGGTAACGCACTAATTTTCTTTTATTATGTGATGGAAACTAAAAGGAAAGACAAATGGTGTGGATAAGTGAGTGAATATAAAGATGGGCATCTTTTTCCAACTCTCCTACTCTCTCTCTCTCTCTCTCTCTCTCTCTCTCTCTCTCTCTTTATTATTTCCTTGTCAAGAATAGATGAGAGTTCTTTTTGCTAAGGACTAAGGAGCCATGGATTCTTGAAGTGTGATAACATAGAGAACTTTTGAGTGAATACAAGAAAAATAACTTCAAACACATAAACACAGTCAAATAGCCTATTTGCCCTTTGCTCTCAATGATGAAAACCAAAATAGCCATGGTATATAGGTACTCTCAAGCCTTATTATCCCAATTTATGCTTTCATCTATTTTTCTCATGTTTTCTTAGAAAGCTAATTCCTCTCTCTCTTCTCCATCTTTCCTTCTCTTTTCTACCTTCACACAATCATTCACAAGATTATATTAAACTATAATATCCTCCTTTTTTATTAAAAAAAAAAAACTATAATATCCTCTTTTTTTAATAATAAAAAAAAACTATAATATCCTCTTTTTTGATTAATTTTATTTGGACATGGTGATGATATGGTACCCGTGCACACTCAAATCTAGATCATCACACGAGCTAAACATACCTATATACATTTTTAACTATACATTTTATTATTAACCACCTCAATAATTCTTCAGCAATATCTACATTTATTTCGAAATATTCACAACTTGTTGCATTTTTTTTATATCTTTTTAATTATTTTATATTATTTTTTTTTTAAACAATTTTTAAAAAACAATTATTTTATATTATTTGGCTATGCTGTAACTGTATGTTGGACTTTTTTGGCGCAATGGTAATTTTTTAACATTAAAAAAAAATATTTATTTAATTACAACTCTCAGGGCTCACCCGATCAGATATTAGTCAAATTTTAGCTTATCCTCTCAATTATTTCACCAACCATCGATTCGATGGCCAATTATTTTCCCGGCAACTCCTCGGAAATCGGCATCCTGATGAACCCGGCCTACGTGGGGTACTCCGGCAGCCACACTGCCGCCGCCACGTCAGCCTCCGGCCTCCACGGCTTCCTCCCGCCGCACGTCCAATACAGCCTCTACGGCCTCCCGGTCGATCCACCGCAGGGACTCTCCCTCAGCCTCTCCTCTCAGCCGTCACTCGCCGGAGGAGACGGCGGCGCCGGGGCTGCGGTGGCGGCCCCGATGCCGGAATCTGGGATATCAAACGGAGTGCTCCTGAGCTCCAAGTACCTGAAGGCTGCTCGGGAGGTTCTGGACGAGGTCGTCCGTGTCGGAGGAGGGGCCGAACCGGGCAAGGGGCGGCGCAAGAGTGCCGGAGACGGATCACCGGCGGCGGTGGCCGAGCTGACGGCGGCGGAAAGACAGGAAATTCAGATTAAGAAAGCGAAACTCGTCAAGATGCTCGATGAGGTATTGAGGACTGTTTGTTTAATCAATTTTCACGATATTTGATGATGTATTGATGATATGTTGCTGACAACTAGTGCGTCTAGTCTGGCTCGACTCGTTAAGCCTCGAGTTGGGCTCAGCTTGTTTTATAAATGAGCCAAGTTCGAGTTCATTTAAAGCTCGTTTGGTTAACTATAGCTCTATTCGATAAGGCTCGAAAAAAAAGTTTCCAATAATTTTCTATAGTTCGGCTCGTTTAAACTCGAGACCGGCTCGAAGTCGACTTTGTTATGAGTGGTAAACGAGCCGAGCTGAAGCTCGATTTTAGGGTCGTTTATTTAACGAGCCGAGCTCGAGCACCCTAAGCTCTAGCTCCGAGCTCAGCTCGGCTCATTATAGACCTACTGATAATGCTCTTTCACAGATTCTTTTGTGAGACGATCCAATAGTGTGTGTCATAGAAGATTTGTAATAATAATGCTTATTTCTGCTATGAAAATTTTACTTGAGTTTATATTGTTTTATAGAGTAGTTTAAACATTTTAGTTTATATTTTTTTAATATAATATTTTATTTTGAAATTATGAAAAAGTATGACTAATAATCAATTAGGCCTATCTTTTGTTAGCTTCCTCTTGGTCGATTTTGATAACTTTTTCGGGCTTCATAACTGAAAGCTTTCGACAAAAACCAAAATCTCTGTAGCCATCGTCTGATGTTTTCTTGTCAGATCAGATGTTCTTTTCGTAGGTTATTCTTTCTGATTAAATAGAGCTTTAAATCTTTCTTTTAAAATGATAAATTGTAGTACTTTGATGACTTTAATTTTCACAATTCAAATCAATCGATGATCAGGTGGAAGAGAAGTACAGACAGTACGACCACCAGATGCAGACGGTGGTCTCGTGGTTCGAGCAAGCAGCCGGTGTTTGCTCCGCCAAGACCTACACTGCCCTCGCACTTCAAACCATCTCCAGACAGTTTCGTTGCCTTAAGGATACAATTTTAGGACAAGTGAAGGCCGCCAGCAAAAGCCTGGGCGAGGACGACAATTTGGACGCCAAAACAAAACGGTCGAAGCTCAAATACGTTGATAACCAAATAACACAACAGAAGGCCTTGCAGCAGTTGGGATTGGTACAGCACAATGCCTGGAGGCCTCAAAGAGGCCTGCCCGAGAAATCAGTTTCCGTGTTACGCGCATGGCTTTTCGAACACTTTCTCCACCCGTTAGTTTTCAGATTTTTCGTGTCGATTTTTTTTTAACTAATTTTTATGTTCTGCTTTGTTATTAGGTGTGTTCAATTTGATGGTTGTTTCTATGCAGATATCCGAAGGATTCGGACAAACTGATGCTGGCTAAGCAGACGGGGCTTACCAGAAGTCAGGTGTCCAACTGGTTCATCAATGCTCGAGTTCGCCTCTGGAAGCCGATGGTTGAGGAAATGTACATCGAGGAAATGAAAGATCACGAAAAGAGCGGCACGGTGGACAAAGAAAACATTGACAGAACAAGCAAAATCGAGCACACAAACAACAACGACGACCCCACTTCAAAACCTCCAAAGGGGCCAACATCCATCCAGCCGGGCTTCAACATCATCGGCCCACCTTCCGAAATCGAGGCCCAGCACAGCCCCAAGAAGCTCCGTTTCGGGCTCGACATGCACACCGTCAGTGAGCCCACGAACGAGCGGCGCGCCCAAGATGTGTCGGGGTTCGGGCTGGTGGGTGGGCCGGCCAACTTCACAGGCGGATTTGGAGCATGCCCAATGGCCGAGTTTGGGTCTGAACAGCAGCAGAAGTTCCACGGGGGCGCGGGTCCACTCTACTCAAGCAATGTGTTCTCGCTCACACTGGGCCTCCCGCACCGCGAGTACATCGGGCCCCACCAGACGTTCCTCCAGCCTGGCGGGAACCCGACAAACGTGTACGAGAGTATAAACATTCAGGACAGGAAGAGTTTCGCGGCGGCCCAGCTGTTGCCGGACTTTGTGGCTTGAGAATTTCAGGAAGTTTGTCTGTAGGGTGAGGAGAAAAAAGACAGAAGGAAAGGGAGGGAAATTGTTCTTTTCACAGGTAAAGGTGCTGTTATTTAGGGAGGTTTTTATATTGTAGAAGTTAGGTAGTAAAATGGAGGTATATATTTTTGTAATTTCTATTTATGCGTTGAACGAGAGCCGTGTCGATCGGTTTCTTATGATATTGAACGAGAGCCGTGTCGATCGGTTTCTTATTATAGGTTCACAGGATATTGTTGGGATTGTATATTAATTTTGTTTTCCAGAACAAAAGAGTAGATGAATGTGATTGTGTAATGTTGAGAACGAGTTGTTTTGAGGAAATTGAAGAATGTATGAGTAACATTCTTCAATTATATCTGTACAATTGGAGTGGTTTGCTCTGGTTATCAGCATTCATATGTGTAAATGTATATATGTTCTTTCATCTATGTTATGATTGGTTTGCTCTGGTTAGCAGTGCATTCATATATTTGAATGGTGAAAATGTTGATCATAACTTGTAATAATTAGAATTAGCTAACATTGGACAATCGATAATAAAACAAGGGGATGGCTATGATCCCGTGACGGTATGATTCTGTTCCTTTATCTTAGATGGTTGGATATTTACAGTTAATTACTTGTCTTTAGATACATGGAAGTTGTATATTAACTACACACATGGTGTAATTTAATTGGTTGAAATAATAAAGGAACCTTCCCGTTACGGGACGATAGTATTTTCCTAAAACAAGATATTCAGAATACGTAACACAATAAATATCACCAATGTTGTGAGAAGAAACGAAAAGAATTTTGGCAGCTTAGAAAACAAAAGCCGAAGGGAAAGATTTTTATAGTTATCAATTCCTAGGGTTACAAATGAGGTAAGGCATATATATAGTGACATGATCATGATCCTACGGTTCTTATGTCATCTCATTATCTTCCTTGCATTGATGACATGTACATCCTCATCATGCTTTCTCCATTTTTTCATAGCTTCTTCATGGTGACTTGGAAAAGACTTACTTTGACATGCCATGTTCATGTATTGTTCTTTTGTGTGATGTGGCCGAGACTCTTTGTTTGTTTGTGTCATGCTCACATGATGAGTTGTATTTGCATGGTGTTCATGCATGTTGCCATCCCTCCTCAAGCCAAAGAAGGTGGCAGGTGAACCTTGTAGAAGATTTCTGAACCGAGTGAAGGCTTGATGAGACAATGGTTTGGTGAAGATGTCACCAGATTGATTGAGTGAAGATACATGAAGAACTTTCTTGATGCCATTTGCCACCTAGTCCCTTACAAAGTGAACATCTATTTCAATGTGTTTTGTACGAGCATTGAAGAACATGATTAGAGGAAAGAAAGATTGTGCTGAGTTTATCAACCCACACAGTAGCCACTTGGGTGCATGGGACAGCTGGTTCATGCTAAAGGGAAGTAAGCCAAATTATCTCAGCCGAGGCCTGAGCCAGGCTCTTATACTCTGCTTCAGTACTCGATCTAGAGATAAATTTTTTTTTTTAGCACCATGATAAAGGATTCTTTCCAGGATAGATGCAAATGACCTCCTGCCATCAAGATCATTTGGCCAACCAAAATTTGAGAACTCAGTGAGACGAGTGCTTGTGTTTCTTGTATAGTACAGTCCATGAGAAAATGTGCCAGCAAGGTATCTGGAAATTCATTGTATTGCATTGCAATGAGTGTACATAGGGCATTGTATGAATTGGCACACCTTGTTAACACTGTAGGAGATATCTAGTCTTGTTTTGCAAGCATACTGCAAAGATCTAACTACACCCCTGTAAAGAGTGGGATCATCCATTAGACTTCCTTGATTCTTGGTAAGTGAGAAAGATGAAATCATTGGTGTAGATAGAGGCTTAGCATAATGCATCTTGGTTTCGGTAAGGGTGTCTTTAACATACTTAGACTGAGCGATGAGTATTTCAGAGTATATGTGGTTGACGTTAATACCAAGAAAATGATGCAACTGGCAAGGTCCTTTAAGAAGAACTGATGTCTAAGAGTACCAACAAAGGTTGACATGGCAGCAACATTAGACCTTGTGATTAGAATGCCATCCACGCAGACAATAAGCCATATACATAAACTATTTGATTGTTTGATGCAAAAAGAGCAATCTGGCTTGTAGTTCTGAAAGCCTAGAGATAAAAGAATTGTTTCAGCTTACTAAACCATGCTATTGGTGCTTGTCTAAGAATACAAACTGATTAAGTGAGGGTTGTGTGAGTCCTCAAAGCCAGGGGGTTGTGCCTTATCTAGATCCTCATGGAGTTTACTATGAAGAAAGTCATTGTTAAAGTCCATATGTTAATGCATCAACCATAAAAGAACGTTAAGGAGAGAACAATTCTGATTGTTGATGGTTTCACTACCGGACAAAATGTCTCATAAAAGTCAATAGCTGCAGCTTGACTATACCCTTTGGCAATAGTCATTGCCTTGTGTCTTGCAACACTTCCATCAGCATGTCTCTTGATTTTAAAGAGCCAAATGCACTCTATGATGGACCTGTTTGAAGGTAGATTGACAAGAGACCACGTGTCATTGTGAAGAAGAGCTTCATATTTTGTGACCATAGTTGCTTTCCAAGATTTGTGAGTGAGGGCCTCCTTGTAAGATGACAGTTCCATGTCTTCAAGTTGTGAAGTGAGTATCATTGGTTTTAGAGAACCTTTCTTAGGCCTGATTATCATATAATGTATAAGAGCATAATCATTAGTAGGCATAGCTAGTAAAAGTAGAAAAGTTGTCTTTCAACAATTGAAAATTCAACATAGAGGGGTATGATTGAGTTAAAGTGTGGAGTGGTAAGAGTGGATGAAGATGCACTGCTTAGGGTGTTATGAGGACTGACTGGGTGAGGTGATGGTGGTTGGTGATCAGGAGGAGGAGAATTAGGAAGTTAATGAGGATGATTGGTGTTTGTTGGAATATAAGGTATATGAGTTATATGAGGTACTTGATGTAGGAAAGAGTTGATGTTATCAATTCATGATTATGTTTAGTAGGATAATAAAAGGCAAATTGTGTTTGATCAAAGATGACATCTCTTGTGACACTAACTTTTCCAGAGAGTAAAAGGACCTTATAACCTTTGTGTTTGGAGCTGAAACCAATGAAAGTAGAGTGTAAGGATCTTGAATGAAGTTTGTGTTTGTTGTAGGTTAAAGGTTAGGATAGAACAGACAGCTAAACACTTTGAGAGTGTTGTAGTTTGATTTGTGGCTATATAGAGTGTTGTGGTTTGGTTTGTGGCCATATAGGTTCCCCAAAAGTGAAGGAACTGAAGTGACTTGAAAGGAAGTCAGTTAAGGATGTAAATAGTTGCACTGAATGCATCATCCCAGAATTTGAGAGGGACATAAGAGTGATATAGAAGAGCCAGTCCCATCTCAATAATTGTTTTGTCTCCTTTCTGCAACCCCATTTTGGGCTGGAGTATAGGAGCAAGATAATTTTTGGTGGATTATTCCTGAATCTGTGAATTTGGAAGTATGTGCTCTATCCTCTCCACTCAAGTAACTTTAAATGACTTTTATTTTGTGGTTTAATCAATTTTCACCAAGGTTCTTAATGTGAAGAAAGGCATCTTTAACCTCTGACTTGAGTTTGAAAAAGTAAATCCAAGTTAATTTGTGTAGTGATCAACAAAGCATACATAATATTGTAAGTCATTAATATTTTTCCTATTCCTTGGACTGGAATTTTAGAATCATCACCAGATAAGACATTCTCGCTTACGGACATCGAGCTCCACAGACATACTCCTTTTTCCACACATGTGGTTGCTCGCTCCGGTGTCGAGGAACCAAGTGTCATCTTGCCTTCCTTTTTCTTCTTTGTAAGCTAACAACAAACTTGTATTGGCTTCATCTTTGCTCTCGGTGAAATTTTCCTTCTCTTCAATATTAAGCCTATGACTTCTGCACACAAAAGCAAAATGTCCAAATTTATGACAATTATAAAATTTTGAGGACAATTTATCGTACCTCAATTTTTTGTAACTTTTTCCTCGACCGTGCTCTTTCTTTTCATAATTAGTATAGCCACCTCGTCCACGTCCTCGACCTTGACCTTGTCCTTGGTCAGGACCTCTAATATTCACTACAGTAGTTGGTCAACTCTTCATCCTTTTCTTTTAGGCTCACTTGAATTTTCAAAGTTGTTCCACAATATCTTGCTTTGTTTTTTTTTTTTTTGTGTGTGTGTGTTTCTCTTTGTAAGCTTGTAATGAGCCCATTAGCATATCTATGGATATTTCCTTCACGTTTTGTTTCTTCAATTGTTATAACAATATGCTTAAATATAGAGTTAATGAGCGGGATATTTTCTCCATTTCACCATTTCTTTTCATTTGATTTGATACCGCCAATACTCTAGTAAAATAATCCGATACAAATTCAGATTCCTTCATATTAAGAGATTCAAATTCACCTTGTAAGGTTTGGACATACATTCTTTACTTGCTTGGCGCCTTTGCACGAGACTTGTAACTTATTCCAAGATTTTTTCGCGGTGGATGCGCTCGAGATCTTCTCGAAGTCGTCATTTCCCAATGCTTGTTGGATAAGGAAGAGATCCTTCTTAGCAATCTTCTTTAAATCCCTTAGCCTATTCTTCTGTTGTTGGGATAGCGTTACTTCATTCGGCGGTTCCTCGTACTCGTTCTCGACAATCTCCTGCACATTGTGAGCTTCAGGTAGAGCTTCATTTTAGTACTCCAATTATCGAAGTTGCTCTTGTTGAATCAGGACTTGAAAGAATTGTAGGTTGTTCTCTATTAGGGAATGAACTTGGCTCTAGTACCACTTCAACACACACACACACACACGCACATACATATATATATATATATATATATATATATATATATATATATTGTGTATGAGAGTGTTGAGTGTAGTGTGAAGATGATGGGTAGACTAGGATTAGACTGGAGGGTCTAGAAACTTTTCTCATCAATTCAATTTACATCACACATAGTATATTTATAGGTAATTTTGGAGGAAGGTAAGACTTTCTAGCTTATGCATTAGTTACTTTCCCTAGAATATTCTACATACTTCTACACAAATGTAATCTACTACCTTCCAAATAATACCTTGAAATACAATATTATAATTTATAAATCAAGTTTAATTTTTAAAACCTTATTTATATCCTCAACGTTCCCAATATGAACTGGAAGAAATTAGGACCTAATTCACGAACCTCCACAGGTAGTTGGACTCTTCAGATTAAGCTCATCATTCATTTGATTCTGATTAAGCTTGCCCTCCTTCCCTCACAATCTTCCCAAATAGATTTTTTTTTTTTTTTCACATTCTTATTCATTTGTCCGAATATCTTCTGCGTCTAATTCAATTTTTGTGTTTTCTGATTCCGACAGCGAGAAATTACAAAGTTGTCGTTCAACCTCTTCTTCTGCCTCTTTTGATCTACTAGCCCCTGTTGATGTAGATTCAATCTCCTCCTCTAAAAGGATCAGAAGTCTCCCAAGGATAAAAAACCCTTGACCTTACCATGCCCCCCACTAATCCTAAATCTAAGGAATAAAAGAGAAGCAAAGAAGCCCGAAGACGAGAACTTCCGTGACTCCTCCTTCGACGGAATCTCACTACCCTCAACAAGAGAGTCTCCCACTCCCTAAGCTGGGAGAAATCAGACTTGTGGTTGGGATGTGAATAAACTTGGTATTATATATATTGTCACAAATTTCATCTTTGTTCATTGTAAACACTACAACAAAAAGGAGTTCTGACAACATAAATATAGTGACATTTTTAATAATTATAATTAAAATTGATGTGTTTGTGACGCTTTTTGAAAAATGTTATAAAGATAAGATTATAACAACCCTTTTTATAAAATGTAATGAAATCATGTCATTTTTTAAAAAGTGTCGCCAGGTTAACTAATATTGGGACATTCATTTAAAAGTGTAATTAAATTATGACGTTTCATACAAAAGTGTCGTCATCTTTAGTTATATGGTGACACATTTTAAAGATTGTATTAAAATACTGACATACTCTTAGAAAAATGTCACAATTTTTACTAATATAGACAACATTTACCTCAAAGTGTCACCAAAGTGTAATTACGTTATGACACATATATAATTGTGTCACCATTTTTAAGCATGAACAACTCTTAAGAAAAGCGTAATTATTTAGTAAATGGCATTATTAAAAACAAGTGTCGCATCACTTTACAACATGGTGGCATTATTTTAAAAATGCTATTAAATTATGACGCTTATACAAAAGTGTGTTCTTTTTATCTATATGACAACAATTCTCTACAATACGTGTTATATATTATCACTTTTAAAAAATTTGTCACCTTATTTACCAACATAATTTTAGTGACGCTTCTAAAAAATATAACTAAAACTAAATAGTTGTTATCTTATTTAAAACGCTTCAACAAAATAATAATATAATAAAATATTTTAAAAATTATAATTATATAATCAAATTTTTTAAAATTGTCATAGTAATAATTAATATGATGCTATTTTATTGAAAATGAAAGTAAAGTACGACTCATATACAAAAGTGTCAACTTCTTTTAATCCCATGATGATAAAATTTTCAAAATTACTTTTAACATAGCCATTTTTAACGTTATCGTTTTAAAACAAATTGCAAATAATTTGTTCCAAAGTAACTAGGTTTGTTAACGAATGGAACATTCCCAAATAAAAGCTAGTTCGAGGTCGTTCATGTTCAATAAAAGCTTATTCTTTTATTAATCAAGTCGAGATTGAACAAAAAACAATGTTCGTTAAATAGTTGAACGAACACGAGCTTGTTAGCAAACGTTCAATAATGTCCACGAACTATGATTTAATATAATTTTTTTTTTTTTTTTTTA